TTACGAGAAACACAGTTTGTTGTGCGCATCAGCTGATCGGCTAATCCGCCAATACAGTAATTGGTTCTATGTTTACATTCGTTTCCAGTGGAATAAATATCAAGAAAGTTGTGTTCTTGAATATTTTTACATTTTTATATTAAAATTATGGGTCATTCTAATATTTAGTAAACATATTAATAATATATACAGTACAGAGAACAGTTTTTGTGTGCCAACCAGCTGAACGAATCACCCACCAACGCTTCTCAGTTTAACTTTGGTTACAGTGGAGTGAACATCCAGTTTGTTGGTCTATTGAATATTTTTGCATTTTTATATTAAAATTATTGGTCATTCTGAAATTTAGTTCACATATTGATAATATACAGTGCAGAAATTATTATGAAACATGAAGAAGGCATTAGAACCAATGCACTCTGTAAAGAATATGGCATGTCATCACCGACTGCCTCTACAGTCAGCTATTTGATATGTAAACAAAGCTGCCAGGAATACGACATAGGCACACACCTCAAAGTCAGTTAAACTAAAGTATTCTATTGTTTTTTTATTTATTATAATACAGTATACTGTATACAGTACAGTACTGTATTTAGTTTATATTTAATGTTTTGTTAATTCTATTACCGGTATACAGAACTTTGTACGTATGTATTTTTTCTGTGAAATAATAGATTCAGTTAACAAAATTTTCGGTTAACAAACGACTCTGTGGAACTAATTGTGTTCGTTAATCAAGGGACCACTGTATTGTATTGAATACTGTTCATGTCCTGTCTGTCCACTGGTGGTTCAGATACTCAAGACTGAGTTGCCAGTGTTCCTAAAGATAACATATTCCAAAGCTTAAAATATTACACAGAAAAATCATAATAAACTTATTTTATTATGACATGAATTTAAATCCCAGCACAAAGTTATACAAGAATTTTCGTTAATAAATCTTCAAATTTCCTTTTCGTTAACTTTTTTATGAAAAAAAAATAAAATAAAAATAAAATCATGATTTTTTCTGCCCAAAAATCATTGATTTTATCAAGTGATTAAATCAAATTTATTTAATCAATGCCAACCCTGATTTCTGACGAGTTTGTCCTTCATAGGTCCACTGTTAACACAGGACTTCAGTTACTGTAACTAGAGACCCTGTGACCAATGATAGGGTCACACTGGATAACATCCTTCTTACATCTGATTCTGGGTTGAACCTGGATAGTAGTGGTGAGAGTTGGGGGCACTATTGATGTACTACTGACATTTGCAACATTTTTGATGAGACAATAACAAGAAAATGTTTGGAAAAAATACTGCCTACACCACTGCTCCAGTTTCCTCCCATACTTATACTGGATAATGTACAGTAGTTTGTAACAAAGTACAATGAGGTCCCACTGAGTGAGTACCCAGTGAACAAGAATGCACTGTAACAAGTGCATTTTATAATATGAAAATTCACTGAAAGAGCTTTTAATTTATTTATTAACCAAAATTCCATGTGATCTAACTTGTCGTGGAGACAGGATGGCCATGCTTTGTCATTGGCTGACTGGCCAGTCAGGTGCGTACACCTGTAGACTCATTTTCTATACTGTACTCAAAAGTGAAGTCATTGTCAGGGTAACCAATTAACCTAGACAACTCGGTGCTATCTGTTTACCATCACATTCTCTGCCTCATGGAATGTGCAGCTCCTTTGGAAGTTCATTTCTCATTATTTCATGACATCTACTAGCCAGACAAAACAAAAATTCCCTGGCTTTTCCAGGTTTTCCGGGTATAAACTTGAAAAATTGCAGGTTCATTAATTCGGTATTTATTACGACAGAATTACAAAATTAAAGGTTTTCAATAACATGTACTGTACAGTATATACTACAGTACTGTATTGGGAAATTTAAAAATATTATATAATATTAATAAAAAAATTTAACACCCTTCCAGGACCCACCCCAAGCCTAGTGATGAACATCGGCAAAGACCTTGACACCCCCTACATATTTTTCTCCTCGGATTTGCGCGATTCACGAAGGTCGACCTGGACACTCCAAAAAAGCCGGAAATTCGGCAAAAACCGATAAATCACACTCCTGATCCACCTATATGACTCATTATAAATATACTACCTACAGGTAGTAGGTAGAAAGGCAGCCACCAAACAGGGAGGTACTACCGCCTAGGAAGATATTGGAAGCATAATGTGTTGTTTAATGGTAGACCCTGCTGCCATATGGCAACACAAAAATTGTGACCAAGTCCCAGGCTGCTAATCTGACTTTCTGCCTCATTTACACACAATTGCAGGGTCTCAATTGTTTCTCTTACTTGGACAACACAACATACATAATGTATATAATTTCTCACTCTTGATTTATTTTTTCAATTTTGTATTTATTTATGGTTATTATTTTGATGATTTTTATTATTTTATTTGTATTAATTTGCTATTAATTTTATTAATTGTTGTAATAATATAATAATTGATATTATTATTACTATAATAATTATTATTATATTTTTGCCCCCCAGACACTGATGTGGGTCAATACCTGTGCCCAGGTGGGCTAATGCCCGTAAAAAAAAAAAATATGGAATAATCTTCTTAAATAAAGTCACTTAATTACCGTATAAAAACAATCCAGTTATTTATAATGAGTCAAAAACTCATATGAAGAGGTAAGGTAGGAGTTTATAGTAGTAGAGTCGTATAGTGAGGGAAGAAGGTAGCGTGACTCAAGGGTGTGGGGATGACTACGTATATTAACACAGGCTCCGTACAAGTGTAGTTTATAAAACACAAATGCGTGTTACAGCTTTATTTTACTAGTTCAATAGGCGGGAATTAATGGGGGGTTCGTACACAGTGTATGATAGACTATGATATTTTCGTATAACCTCACAAGTAGAATGGGCACTTCCACTAAGTCGATCGTTGGGGAGGTTCGGGATCACCGCACTACTACCGTCTACACAGCCAGCACTTACTTTTACACGTTGCGTCGACAGCACTCTGTTGATGGACCCGGCTGAGACCTCGTTGCCCTTAGTGGCGGACTTCTTTGATGAGCGGGACTGGGGGTGTCGTTGCTGGCCCTTCTCGGTTACAAGACTCTCTCCCGTGAGAGGAGCTACAGGCCATATGTATTGGAGGAAGAGCCAGCAGATGACCTCTCTTACTGAACTGGGTGTCTCTTGACCGGGTCGTTGGGTCAGGTGACAGGGGTGCAGGCTGATTAGCAGTTCCTTGAATTAACAAGGCCATGACGCCGGGTTGAGCTGATCGGGTGGCGATGAAAATTCTGGTTCCCTTGTGAACTTGACCTCCCTTGGGTCAGGTCTAGACCGCTGTTTCCCCAGGTGTGGTCATGTCGCAGGTCAGTTGTGCTTCCTAATTATTACCTTCCGGGTGTGTCTTAGCAAGGTGTGGTTGTAGGTCATATCAACTGGCTAACTCAAATACTTAGTGGCCGAGGTCAGGTCTCCTGGGTCACTATAGGGTGTGTCACTATAGGTGTACCCCTGCTCATCTACTCACTGTTATATGTGTTGTATTTCTCTGAGCTGTAAGCTGTGGTCTGATAAACAATCATTACATATTGGAGTGGACAATTTTCTGGAATTTGTTTTTAAAAGTTTAATTATCTAACTATTATATAGTATATTATTATTAATTTGAGGCAAGATTGCTGTAAAAAAATATACAGTGAACCCTTGTTTTACGCGGTTTCACTTTACGCGGTACCCTGCCAGAACCGGAATTCCCACTTTACGCGGTGCATCTACTCATATACCCGGGTGAAGTATAATTTTTTTATTTAGCTCATAAAATTCATACAAATTATCCGGCCAGAATATAATTTACATTGCTGGAATTCTTACAATTTGATGATCATTTTGAATATAAGCATCATAGATTTTGCATTAGACATACAAATTTTAGATCTAATGCAAGTATTTTGTTTACTCAGAGCAAATATGTTATCTTTTGTGCAAAATATATGAAGTGTACATTCAAAATATTCCTGGTCTTGCAAGGAATCCAGCAATGTCAATTATATTATCCTAACTTTAGTCTGAGGTATTATTTATTACTAAAAATGTAAATATACTGTTATAACCCAATCATTTCTCTGGTAGGGAGGGAGGGAGGGACCCAGGGAGCAGGTGGGAAGAGGGGGGGGAGGTGGGGTATTTTGATTGACAGATAGTATTTCGGTAAGTATATTTTGTTTATTTATTGAAGATATTTGTTTTAGCTCATACAATTCATACAAATTACCGGGCCAGAATATAATTTACATTGCTGGAATTCTTACAATTTGATGACCATTTTGAATATAAACATCATAGATTTTGCATTAGACATACAAATTTTAGATCTACTTTAAGTATTTTGTTTACTCTGAGTAAATATGTTATCTTTTGTGCAAAATATATGACATTTATATTCAAAATATTCCTGGTCTTACAAGGAATCCAGCAATGTCAATTATATTATCTTAACTTTAGTTTGAGGTATTATTTATTACTATACCTTAAAATCTAGTGGTTTTCCCCCAAACATTTCTCAGAGAGGGAAGAGCCAGGAGTGTGAGAAGAGGGGGAGGGAGTTGAGTCCATTATTTGAATGGACATTAACTTGGCGACTGTATTTCTCTATTTCTCTTAAGTATTAATTGTGTGCATGTACCATCATAAAATTAAGATGTTATTTTTACTAGAACATAGGTATGTGCCTTCAAAAAGTGGAGTTTGGGGGTCAGCCAGTCTCTATTTCATTTAATCACATATGTTATGTTGTTTACTTTACGCGTTTCTCGCTTTATGCGGGCCTCCGTGGGTTCAATTGACCGCGTAAAGTGAGGGTTCACTGTATATATATTTTTTAAGTTGAATTGAATTCACTAAAATTCTAGGTTTATTTGTAAAATTCCCTTTGCCTTTCCAGGTTTTCCAGACCAGTACACACCCTGTATTTATATGATAAAACGACAAAATAATACCCAGTAGATAACTTTTTATTCCTCTGGGGAACATCCAGCCACCTTCAACAAAAGTCAGCAATGTAGTGTAATATTCTAGAAACTTCATTTTAGATATGTTTTACAGCATTGTCAACTTCTTAAGAAAAGTTACTTGCCATTCCAAAAGTCAAAATGGTAAGGACATTTGTACACATTTGTATAAATTCATCAAGTAATTGATCTTTCTGGTCCTGCAAGAGACAGGAGGCAGGCTGATGCTTGCCTCACACTGTACATTACTGGCACATCCACACCAGCAACCCTCATGGCTGGACAAACTGTTAGTGCTGCTCGAACTTTAGCATAATTTTTGCTTGGAACTCTAATGATTACTTGACCACTCTTGGCATCAAACTTCAGGATATCCAGTGGCAAGCTTGATGACACCTGAAAGAAGCCAAGTCATCAAATTACTGAACAAATTACTGATAACATGATTTGAGAAATAATATACTGTACAAAATGAATAGGCTGTAGTGGTATATATCATGTCCCTGATCCTCTTACTCAAAGGTAGATCACACGTACAGCATATGCCTCAAACAACTCAAACTCCACACTAATGGGAGCTGAAAACACAACAATAAGACTTCTGCATGATACTTTAGCTTCCAAATATGAAATCGTTTGTTACGAACTTCCATTGACATATGTAAAAAAAAAAAAAAAAAAAACATCGGAAAATTGGACAAATAATAGTAAAGAAAAAAATATCTACTTGAAATTATAGGTACCAGAGAGATGTAAATTGTTGTCTTAGGATAATTAAACTCAGCTGCAGGTATATACAGTACACTAGAAATAGTCTAAATTATTTACACAGAGGATGACAAATACAGCACCTGGGAACTACCTTAAGCTCACCCCATATTTTGTGAAGGTGAGCTAAAAATAAAAATGATACAGAGAATGAAAATAAAAAGGTAAAAAACATGAGTCATCTAAATAAGAAGACTTATGGCTGTGTTGAAGACTTTAGAAAAGAATCTGTCAGTAATAATGGACCAGTACAGTACTGTACTGGACTGTTTGGACAAGCCTGTAAGAAAAAGATATACAATACTTTATCTATTTTTATGAGACATGTGATGTAATGTGTCTGGAAGCATTAACACTCAAATAAAAAAAAAATTCTTGGTGACAACAGATGATACTGATATTGAAACAGTTTATTTAGCCAGAAAAATACAGCTACAGAGTGGAAAATATTAATAATATTGACATGGCAGTTGCTCTGTCCAGTGTTGGTACAGGAGGAAACCAGAGTACTGTATCTGGAGGAAACCTTTAATACAGTAATTGGTAGTGAGGGTCACCCTGGACAACACCCTTCTCACATGTGTCCAGGCCAAGCAGGACTCAAACCCCCTACATTTTGCTGAGAGATACTGCTGTACAGGTACCCCCCAATCAACAATTTCCCAATCTACGATATTCTGCTTTAATGATGGTGATGTATCAAGACCACCCCCCTATTTACGATATAAACAATCTGTATGAATGATGGTCATCATCCGGCCAAAGCACTTTACAGTCACCAACACAAAGTACAATGTGAACATTAGTGATGTCCTCTCACAGTGTATATACAGTAATACCTCGCTTTACGTGGTCAATTGAACACACGGAGGCCCGCGTAAAGCGGGGAAACGTGTAAAGTGAACAACAGAACATATGGGATTAATTGAAATAGGGACTGGGCCGACCCCCAAACTCCACTTTTTCAGACACAATACCTACGTTGTAGTAAAAATAACTTCTGAATTTTATGATGGTATGCACACACAATTAATAATTAAGAGAAATATCAATAATATTAGGTTACTTAACACTTACATTAGTAGAAAAGATGGCTGGGCACACGGGGATGGGGGGTTGGTTCGAGGCAGAGGGCAGATTATTGGCCCTCACCTGTATCACTTGTATCAATTGTATCACTATCCACCACAGAGGCTTGCAGGGCCTCTTTGTCAAACCCCTCAAAGTCCATATAAGTCCATATCCTCACTATCACTATCACTGACTTGGGCCGGCTGTGGTGGGTGGCGGGTGAAGAACTCGATAATGTTTTGATGACTGGGCGACCTTGTGCGCACCCTGCCCATGCCGCTTCCCGCGTATATGAGTAGATGCACCGCGTAAAGTGAACATTCCGGTTCTGGCGGGGTACCGCGTAAATGTAGAAACGCGTAAAAAAAACCCCACGTAAAGCGGGGTATTACTTATATATATATATATATATAAAAAAATTAAATAACGATAAGTAACAACACCAGTACTCGTTGAGTTACATGTTCGCAACCATAAGCGGTCAATATGGAACTTAGCTTGGTACTGTGGGCAATATTCTCAGTCATTACACCATCTGACCAATTGGGAACAGTGTTGGGTGAGGTCTCTCAGAGTCACCATAGACCCGAAGGCAGCCATGGTGGATCATTGGAACATTTCATCAGGAGAGGGTAACTGCCTGATGACAGTCCCAATGAGTATAAAAACCTCTTTTACCATCCAAATTTTGATATATTGAGATAGAATATATTAAAAACAGATAGAAAGTGAGTTTGTGGGTAACAAATGATTGTTTCCACATACTGTACTGTACATTCAAAAATTGTCAGTTATTTACAAGTGTAAAATATTCCCGGTTGTCCATGAATGTGCATCCGTGCAATTCATGGCTGTACGCCAACCATCAGCCATCCCAGTGTTGCCAACACCTGGTGAAATATAACCTTCAATACAAACCTCACAAACACCAGAGAATAATAACTTCTATGTCCCATACATATCCTCTTAACATTTTTGTGTTTGTGTGGTCTTATTACTTTTTTTTTTTAGTTTTGGTTATTAATATTTTTTTTTTTAGAGAGAACTATTATTGGAGTACTCAACGCCTAGGTTGTGGTAACAGTGGTCCATCTAGCTGATTTAGAAATACTGGTAGCCCTGCCCGGTACATTGCAATCCTGGCCCATTGTATTGCCCGAAGCACATTCTTGGATGACCTCGGCCCACACAAGCGTATGGTGCCCAATGGTCGGGCATACCATCGGGCATGACGACTAAGAATACTCCCCCGTAGTGCACTGGGTGGCCATTTGGCAGCATGTATGTTGGTTGTTGTCAACATGCATGCCACCCAGTGCACTACAGTACCAATGATTATAATCATTGGTACTGTAGTGCACTTATCAACAGTGTTTTGTTTTCACCTTACAGTGAGAGGACATCACTAACGTTCACACGATATACTGTACTCTGTTTCTCTGTTTTGGTGACTATAACATGATATTTGCCTTTTTTGTGACTGTAAAGTGCTTTGTCTCTTGTTATCAGCATGATGTGAGCAGTCTCCGCTGCTATCATTGTTTTTATGTTATCATGTTTACTCTGTTTCTGTGACTGTGAAGCGAGCAGTATTCTAATAATGTGGCTAGTGTTGTTTAATTGCTTTATGTATACAGTATTAGTATAGGGATGGATCCAGGGGGCCCAGCCATTCCCCTATTCGTCAGAAAATTCCAATACCTTTTCTTTAATGCAGTATTGTACGCAGGCATTTTTGTATGTAAAAAGTAATTGCTATTAACCTCAGAGTATCTCCTAATATCAAGTGCACATGGTCTCAAAATACCCATGATATTGGTCAGATTTCAAGAATTTTCCAATGTGGCTTACAGCAGCTGTACTGCCCACAGTCATACATGTTACTTGTTTCCTGAGCCCTGAATCCCCCCCCTACTGAGACATCCGATTTTTCTTGTGTGTTTCAGAAACTCTCATGTATCCCATGTTTACGTTTGTACGTATATTTGAAATTACGAATGAATGCGTATGTGGTACTGTAAGATATATATACAGTACCTGCTTATAGATGATACGTTCATGATTCATTGCAAGTGATGTTGAAAGCTTCAACTGGATTTACTTTTAGTGAAATTGTCAAGTAAGTTGAGTGTTAGAGTTGCAAGGGAGAGTGAGGATCCTGACTTTTAGTTTTATCCTCTTTACCGCTGATTGGCTCGTTAGCCACTTGGGAGATCGGTCACGTCTCTGTTACACACTGTTGGCAAGTACTAGGTATGCACTGGCTCCTGAATGTATCTGAACCTGCTCCAGTGCTTGTCAGGTCTGGTCTTGAAAGAGCTCACACTCGGTGCCGTCACAACACTCTCTGGCAAGTTGTTTCATGAGTTCACATCTCTCACGCCGAAAAAGTCGCCCTCACAGATTTCTGAACTTGTGGCTTCTTCAACCCTGAGCTGTGACCACTTGTGCGGCAAGCGTCCGCCAGCTCCAAGTAAGGACACTCGACTGAGTAGTACCCTTTGAGATGTTTATACACCTCAATTAGGTCCCCCCCTCGCCCGTCTGTAGTATAAGCTAGGCAATTTCAGGCGCTCTATTCTCTCAGGGTAGCTGTGGTGCCGAAGTGTAGACACAGTCTGGTGGCCCTCCTTTGGACATTTTCATTCAACTGACAGTCCCTAGCATATTTTGGGGACCATTACGCGGGATGGACTGTTTAGATATCTGAACGACCTTCTTATAAAACCTAATAATTTAGTAGCCCGATTCACCTTCTTCTCACAATGGCCCAAGAACTTCAGTTCATTGTCAACATACACACCCAGGTCCTTTTCACATTGTCTCAATAAATGCAGTTTCTTCATCCTGTTGGGACATATTATATGCCTCCTTACCGTTGGTATGTCTCAGGTGCATCCTCGTACACTTCGTGACATTGAATCTTAGTCTTAGCAGCCATTTCTACTCGCCATTGAAGTCAGTCTACTTTGATTCACAGAGAAATTATTGTCAGTTTTGAATTTAAAAATGTGATTATCCATTTGAGAGAAACCTGTCAACTGCTCACTGCCTGAAATCAAACGGCTGGGCATAAATGGGGCTCTGTGGATGTTTTGCTGAATATGCACAAAGTGCAAATGCCAAACTAAGCACTTTTTGTAATTTAATTATTGTATTGCACACTCAAACACTGATTAGATTGTAAGCATTAACCTTAAGAAATTGATGTGACCCATGACACTGATTCCCATATCCCAATGTGTACTGCAAGTGGGTCAAATAAATATGTACATAAGTTCTTGTTGTGGCATCATGGGGTATGTAACTGACGTACGAGAGACGAACACTCACTTCTTGACTCGCCTTCCTCATCTGTCAGGTATGTACAATGAAAGACAAAAGTCGTGTCGTGAAATTTGGTGAAAACATATGCCGAAGGTCTTAACTTCTGGTGGACTCTGCCTTGTGGTTGGGGGCTCTCATAATGTTTCACACGTTATATTTAATCTTCGGACAAAACCGCGACACGACTTTTATCTTTGATTGTACATAGTGCCTCACACTGCCATGTGACA